AAGTTGTGGTGGTGGTTCTTGAGTTGGATGCTCTTTCTCAATTTCTGGCTCAACTTCATTAGGATTAGCATCATCCTCTACATCTTCAATAGGTGGCTGCACATCTCCCCCATTTTCATCATCAACTGAAAATAAAGGAGATGAATCCATGTCAATGAGATCACTAGTTTTTGGTTTCGGTTGATCACCTTTGCCAAAGTCTTCAATTGTTTGGTCTTCAAGAAACACAACATCACGGCTTCGAATGACTTTCTTGTTGACCGGATCCCACAATCTATACCAAAATTCATCATGCCCATAGCCAAGAAAAATACATTGTCTTGACTTACTATCAAGCTTGAACCTCTCATCCTTTGGAATGTGAACAAAAGCTCAGCAACCAAACACTCTCAAGTGCTCATAAGACACATCTTTGTCAGTCCAAACTCTTTCAGGAACATCACCATTCAAAGGATAGCAAGGAGACAAATTGATCACGTCAACCGCTGTCTTCAATGCCTCACCCCAAAAGGATCTTGGCAATTTAGCTTGTGAAAGCAAACACCTTGTTCTTTCCACAACCAAACACTCTCAAGTGCTCATAAGACACATCTTTGCCAGTCTAAACTCTTTCAGGAACATCACATTCAAAGGATAGCAAGGAGACAAATTGATCACGTCAACCACTGTCTTCAATGCCTCACCCCAAAAGGATCTTGGCAATTTAGCTTGTGAAAGCAAACACCTTGTTCTTTCCACACCTTGTTCATCCTCTCGGCAACTCCATTTTGTTGAGGAGTCTTCTTAACTGTCTTTTGATGCCGAATACCTTGGCTGTGACAATACTCATCAAATGGCCCAATGTATTCACCACCATTATCTGATCGGATGCACTTCAATTTCTGCCTTGTTTCTCTTTCAACCATGGCCTGAAAATACTTAAATACTTCTAGAACTTGATCTTTAGTTTTTAGTAGAAAAGTCCAAACTTTCCTTGAATAATCATCAATGAAAGTAATAAAATAAAGTGTACCACTATGTGTTCTAACTTTCAAAGGACCACAAACATCCGAATGAATCAACTCCAAAACATTTTCTTTTCTAGAGGCAACATTTTTATGAAAAGAAGCTCTATGTTGTTTACCCGCCAAACAATGGATACAAGTTTTAAGATATGTACCTTTCAAACCGGGAAGAAGCTCCTTCTTGAACAAAAATTGCAGCCCTTTTTCACTCATGTGGCCAAGCCGCTTGTGCCACAATTCGGTAGAAGTATCATCTTCAAGTGCATTGACAATACCTTTACAAATTTTTCCTTTCATTGAATAAAGTGTATGAGTCTTCTTGCACTTAGCCACCGCCAAAGAACCCTTTGTGAGCTTCCATATTCCATCACCAAATTTGTTGTTGAAGCCTTCATCATCTAGCTTCCCAGTAGAGATCAAATTGAGGCGAATGTCGGGAACATGCCTCACATCTTTAAGCAACAACTTGCAACCCAAATTTGTTTCCAAGCAAATATCACCCATGCCCATAATCTTGGACAAACCTTCATTATCCATTCGAACAGAACCATAATCTCCTTTGGTGTAGGTAGTGAAGAAATCAACTTGAGAAGTCACATGAAAAGAAGCACCATAATCAATTACCCAATTACTCTCTTGGTTCACAAAATTGATACAATCATCTTCATAAACGACCATGAGATCATCGGTAGTAACTGCCGTTGTGTCTTATAGCTTCTTGTCCACACTTTTGTCACGCCTTTTCTCCTTATTCTTAAGCTTTCGGCATTCTCGCTTCATGTGCCCTTTCTCATGGCAATAATAACACTCAACGTCTTTCTTTGTAAAAGAACCATCTTTTGATTTGTCACGGCTTTGATCACGACCATGAGGAGTCTTACTCCTCCCCCTTGTTTTACTTCGGCCTCTCACAACAAATGCTTCTGAATGAGAGAAACTCGCTGATTTTCAACAGGCTACTAGTGACTTGGCCCATTGTGACAACTCTATCAGGTGCCGAATTACTAACCGTCACAACCAAAGTCTCCCAACTTTCGGGCAAAGAACTAAGTAGCATCAAAACCTATAACTCATCATCAAAAATAATTTTCATAGAAGCAAGTTGGTTAACAATACTTTTTATTTCATTCAAATGTTCTGGAATGGGGTTGCCCTCTTTATATTTTAAATTAACCAACTTACGAAACAAAAAGGCTTTATTTGTGGCTGATTTTCTATCATAAAGACTCTCTAATTTTTTCCATAAATCATGTACCGAAGTTTCAGTAGCAACATGATGAAACACACTGTCATCGATCCATTGACGGATAACGCCAACAGCTTTTCGATTAAGCCTTTTCTATTCATCATCTTTCATACCCTCGGGTTTGCCAGAATCACCCTCAATGGGTCCATATAAATCTTTACAAAATAATAGGTCCTCCATTTTAGTTTTCCAAGTTACCCAATTGCTTCCATTGAAGTTAGACATACGACCCACATTCCCCTCAATTGATTTACACAAATAAATAAACCCTAATAAACCGTAAGCTCTGATACCAGTTGTTAGGAAAAATAAGTGATTCTCCACAAGTAAATCAATCAATGAGAATAAAAATTAATGCGAAAAAATTAAATCAAAGGCAACACTAGAATTTTTACGTGGTTCCCTCAATGTGAGTTACGTCCACAGGATCGAAATCCGATTCCACTATCAACCAAATAAGTTCCAAACGATTACAAACGAGACACTAATGGTCTCACAAAATCACCCTTAGGTGAATTCCAAATAATCACAAATAAACAAGAAGAAAGACCTCACCAAATAGATGAACCAAAATCTTCAAAACCAAAATTGAAGAAGACCCAAAATAATTAACCCAAATCAACTTCACCAAAGCTGTCGAAACCACGCCACCACCAAATCAAAACCGTAGAACCATGCTTCTCACCATGATCATAATGCTGGGTGCTCACCTTTTGAAAAAAAATGCCAAGAATGGCAGCCGTACCACACCTTTTTGGTGAAAACCAATATATATATATCTATCTCAAATATTGAACAATATATATATATATATATAATTGAGTATTGGGTTTTGTAATCAAACCCTAATTGTATCTAAATTGAATTGGGTCTCCACAAATATAATATATAATAATTTATTATACCTAAACCGAGCTAAATTAAAATTCTTTAACAAACCAATTGGATCCCACACTCCAATAAGGAGGAATACCCAACAAAATGTTGAGTTAACATGTAACACAACCTTCAATGGTACAATTGGGCCTTAGGCGCAGAGGGTGCTCATGAAATTCGAGCACAATGTAGCTCGGTAGGGAAGTGCACTTCACATCGAGGCAGAAAGTTTCATTGAAACTGCACTCATCAGTAGTACATTGAAAGGTAAATCCATTGCATTGTTTGCCACAACCTCTGCATGTAAACCATCTAACATAACTGCTCCTATTGTCGAGAGAGAGAGGGCGTGGGTGACATGGGTGTTGTATCTCAATGGGTAGCTCGACACACCATTTGTGCATAAAGAAGTCACATTGACTATGACTACAACTATAAAATGGAACCGAGATGGGTTGCACACACACATCACATATTTTTTCATTTTTTTGCTCATCATTATGAATAGACAGTTTGCTCATAGAACACAAATTATCTTCATTATCCACATCGAAAAGGATCAATGGATGGCTATGAATAGAATTGTAGAGCTTTGCTTCTATCTTATTGCTTGCGTGTTCCAAATCGAGTTGCTCCACAAATTGATCGATTAGATTGACTATTGGGACATTGAGTTGCTCTACAAATTGATTGAATAGATTAACTGATTCGTCTGGCATTGGCAAGCGAAATAGATTGGTCATATCAAGTTCCTCAACTTCGGCCACAGTTTCGCTTTCCCTAAGTCCACAAAAGTAGAAATAGAATGTAAATCCAATGACAAGAAAAGATATAGCCAACATTTAAAAGAAACAAAAAGAAAAAGCATTATAGATTACTTGGTCTTTGTTGCGCAATTTGCATGAGCATGATATTGGCATCCTCTACATTGATAACTCCATTGGTAAGTCATAAATCCCTCCTGACAAACACGACAACTTGCGTCATACAATGAAGAATAGTAGAGGGTGAGAGGGTGAACGTGACCTCTATGTTTGGTGGTTGGTAATAAAGCACAGTCCTCGTGGATCCAGAAGTCACAGGTGCTACACATATAGGACAAGCCTTTATCATGTTGTGTACAACAAGCATGACATTCGAACAAGGCCGGGCTGAGTATGGGGCTTAATGGGTGTTCATGAAATTTGTGTTCAACACTTTAATCTCGCAGCACATCTGATGTCAATTCGATATGGCAAATAGAAGTAGTTGAATCCATCGAAATCATAGTGACACAAATTATGAGAGAAAAAAAGATCAAACTGTGGGTCGTCTAGTTTCCAATCGAGATCACGGGTACGCAACGCTTCTGCGCGATCAAGGTGGAGGGTAAGAGTCACTGCAGGAAATTCAGCTTTTAGTGGCGTTATAAGTGTCAAAAACGCCGCTAATTCTTCTTGCGACGCTTAGCGTTAAGCGCCGAGGACGCAACTGTCGCTATAACTTCCTAACGTTTTAAAAATGTCGTTATATTAGTATAGGCGACATTTTTAAAAACGCCGCTAAATGTCTTACTGGACAATACCATGACATCATTATGATATTTAGCGACATTTTTTAAACGCCGTCATATCTTTTTAAAAAATCTAACCGTTAATATTTTGGGTTTTAAGTGGCATTTTTAAAAAACGCCGTGATATCTCCTTTTTTTTTTTTTTTTTTTTTTTTTTTGAAATTGTGCTAATTTATGTGATTAAACTAAAAAAATACATATAATAAAAATGAATAACACTAATATGAAATAATAACTTACATTCAAATGGCAAATGCATCATTAATTCATTTTCCCATTCACCAATCACCATTACCCACAAAATAACATATCCACAAATGATATTTTAATATTACCCCCAAAATAACATATCGAAAAATTGTATTCACAATTCTCTACCAAAAAATTAATTACTACTTTGTATACAAAGCCACAAAATTGCTATCAGTCAAAATATGTTATATATAAGAGGACTAAATTTCCAATAGAAATCTTATATAGTAAGTTTTTTGAGTGAATACAGTCTCGTATCCAGAATACAAAATTGCTATCATTTGATCAATTATCTCTTCATCTGTTAGATTATATCTGTTTTCTTCACCCCCATTCATTAGGAGACCAAGCATGTCATGTTTGGTTTCTTGGCAAGCTCTTCTTTCCTCTACGAGTCGTCTCAGCATGCTACAGATAAGATCAATGAAATATTCCATATCTTCAAAACTAAAAAGGTGCCATCATCATTATTTCACATAAATTTATGAGCACACATCAGCATCATGAAAAGTTCAAAAAACTATTGCATTCAGCAGCACTGTCACGCATGTTTGACTGCTCAAGCAGGTGCTAGTAACCAACTCATGTTGTTCAATGATAAAACAATTTAACGGGAAAGAAACTAACATTCATTTAGTGCTGTTGTTTCACTGAATGTTCAGAATCGTATGTAACAAAAACAAAAGCAGACAGCAGGGAGAGAATCACCTGTTGTTTGAACTTTCCATTGTGAAGTTGTTGGCCACTAAATTACTGCATATTACACAATTACTGTATATTACACCCCAGCAAATCTCAATGTCAGTTTCAGTTTCAAGGGTACAAGTCAATGTAGAAACTGTCAGTTTCAGTTTTAGTTTCAAGGGTACTAGGATTGTTGCCTTGCCTATTACATAATTTTCTTGCACGCATAGCAGGGTTGTTTAAAAAATATGTTGCTGTTGATAAAAATCAAATGGCAAAAATGATTAATCTCTGATGAATTGCAACTTAAAAAAAGAATGACAACTAATTCAATTGATGAAGAAAGATACAAGCAGCATATTTTCCACCCTATTAAGAATGTATAATATCATGTTGCATGATTATATAAAGAGATTACCATGAAGAACCACACTGCATGAAGTAGTGGCTAAGATTGATTAATAATGGACAAAAAAAATCTTAAAACTTTATTTACTCCATAAGGGGAAAAATTATCCTTTAAACCCTAGGACTTGCGATTACGGTTTGTTGCTAGGTTGTAAACAGAAACCCTCAGGAGTGTTATCTTTAGTACGGCAGTAAAACTTAGAATTCTGGTCAAGTATACTTTTTTAAAAAAAATAAAGGTGTAATGATAGTTTTTCTAGGTAGAAAACTTTTTGAAGGGTCTTTATTCTTTTAAGAGTTTTCCCAACTTTGTTATCCTGATTTAGAGCCACAATACATTGAAAACAAAGATAATAAATAAATCAATGTAAAGGCTGGTAAACACATTCAGTATACCGCACCTACTTATTGAAACCAGATTACAGACTACTAGAATTTAAAAGTGAAGATTTAAGCACAAATACTCTTAACACAAGCTAACTTAGATTAATCATATGCAACAAAAGAATTGAGACAAATTACCTGCAAGGCCCTCCCATACATCCGACGTTTCCGAAGGTTGAGCATGGCCAAGGCTATCTCAGGTCGATTCAAGTCATTTCCCTCCTCAACCCACTTATCCAAAGCACTTTGAACAGACAAACCTGGAGCAGCCATGATAGCCTTGAACAATGCCGAAGAAGCTCTCTTTTGTGGAGGTCTTTTCTCAGTTACTTCTGCCTCAGTATCAAATAATTCCAGCTCATTTTGAGGTTCTTCTACACCATCACCATCATCTTCTTCTTCTTCAGAGAGCTCTGGTTTGGAAATCAATTAATCTTCGTTTAAATCGTCAACATTGTTGTCTTGAACCACATCAGCAGCACTAGCTGCAGTCTCAAGCTCAGAAAACCAATCCTCTAAATCTTCTTCTTGTGCACTGCTTTTTGTGTCAGCCTGTGAAGAAAAACTGCAACACCCCATAAAGAAATTTGGGGAACCATGTGCTGCACTGTAAAATCTCTTCAAAGAGATGCATCCATCAGATGCTACTAGGCGAGAATCAACATTACTGGCTTTGACATCTAAACAACAACTTGCTACTTCTGATTTAGCACAACAAGCTCTAGAAGTTCCGATGCCAAGCACTCGATTCCTGAATGCAGTCAATGAAAGCAATTATGAAACCAAAACATGAATCAGTAACAGGCATGCAACCAATATTCAAAATTGAATTAATTTATTGTTTATAAATTATATGTACGTAGGTACTAAAAAATGGGAGGAATCTCCCTCAATAATTTACTGCCTGCTTTGCACTCTATTTTCACCCCTGACCAATTTATTAAATAGAATAAGGCCCTGCTTTTCCCTGGTGAGGATTATAAAGTTTATAACGAAACAATGTGCAGGCTGTACAGCATAATGTTTTTTTGTAGAAGAATGTCGAAATAACAAGAGTTAATGCCCTGCTTGGATTCAGTCCTGCAAGTTTTTATTTTTATTTTTTTTTTACATTTTATAAATAAAATGTGTTCGTCCATGTGCATGTTTGAAATTTTAATTGAACATAAAGACCAAAAGAAACTGAACGCAAATAAATAAAAGGAAAAGAAGATCGTAAAACAGAGAGCAAAAAACTGATTTCCAAGTAATGAGCGCCTAACATTTTGTTTGGTTGCTTAGAAATGTTATAAGATGATAATAAATAAGAACATCAACACTTCAATTATCTCCATCTTGAAGTACCCAAGAACCCAAGTCAAATGATAGTTCAGGACAAAGAAATGGAAGAACGAAAGTCGTATGGATTCACAAAGACTTACTAGAAATATTTGTCTTAATGAGTCCAAATCTTTTCATTAACCGAAAGCTACCCATATGACTCAAAGTTGCACTTTCTTTTCTTTCCCCCCACTCTCTCAGCAACCAAACAATGTAACCAATGATTAGCCAACGGAAACCCTTGTTCTTTAAAACAAAACCAGGAAAATAGATTTTTTTTATAAAATTACAACCACAACAGACCTTTCAAAATTCAACAACTCCATCAACTACGTAACGAATATATATCAGAACCCAGAAATGACAGTAGCCACAAGACTTCTAGTTTCACTTCCTTTACTTTTTCCCCCCACTTTCCCAGCAACCAAACACGGTAACAACGTTTAGCCAACAGAAACCCTTGTTCTTCAGTACAAAACCCGAAAAAAATGTTGATATAATTTTGATAAAAATACAATCATGTCAGACCTTTCAACAATCAACGAATTCATCAACTACATAAATAATATACAACAAAACCCAGAAATGATAGTAACCAGTAGGACTCAAAAAATTCATTTTCTTTACTTTTTCCCCCCACTTTCTCAGCAACCAAACATGACAGAAGATTTGGCTTTAGAATAGGCCACTCAACCCTGCTGAGTTTCACATGTAAGAAGAGGCCAGCATTTATATGACGAGTAACTAAAACTACTCTGTCGAGAAATCAACATGCCTAACACAAACAGAATATCCAAAAGGAAAAATTACATAATGAAAACTAAAAGTGCTCAATTAGAATGTGTTGAAAATTGAGTATTCAAGTTCATATTAAGATGAAGTAAATTGTAAGTGGTAACAAAACAGTTACCACTGTTACGGAGGAACAAGCGGGCTTCTCCGTCATAAAGGGTTCATTTTGCACGGTTATAAGCGAAGAAATCCTCGCATAAGTCATCTTGACCCTGTATTCACTCAAAAAACTTGCTATATAAGATTGATACCATGTATTATATATATCGACACCAGCAAGTCGCAATGTCAGAGACAAAATAAGATCAAGGGAAAGAAAAGTTGAGGAATCCGTTGATTTAATCACCTTATTACAGAAGAAGCAGCTATTGCAAGGCATTATGAAGCTCCAACCACATGAGCTCCGACTGGAAATCTGAAGAATCAAGGCAAAACTAATCCTGTTATCCATGTTGAGGACCAGTCCATCATTTTGGGAGTTCTTAATGAATAAATTTACTCGTCCATAACTGGTAAAAAAGGTTATCCCTAATCAAAGCATGGGAAGAAAGTGAGAAGTCAAAAGCAGAGAACAACTAAATTTTTTTTCAAATATATGATGTTATTTCTGAGGTAATGAGAAGTTTTCTCAGCAACCAAACAAAGGATCGAAAGCACAATGTAGAGTTCTGAGATTGTAGAGCTCTGAGATTGTAAAACAAAGGACCGAAAGCACTAACCTCTGATTGAAGAAGACGAAGAGTTCCAAATCGGACTTCGAAATCACGGAGCTGAAGCAGATTTTGAAGGATTCGATTGGTTTTTTTGAGATTGTAGACAGCGGTGCTCAAAATCGAACTTCGAAATTGCAATCGCTCAGAGAAACTATGAGATTGAAGCCATACGGCTGCAGATAGGTTGGGTCTGAGAAACTTCGAAATCGCAATCGCTCAGAAGAAGAATCGAGAGAGAGCAAGAGAGTGAGAGATTTGAGTGAGTGATAGCTTCGAACTCGACGGCGGTGGGTTTTCAAAATAAAGGTGTGGAGAGACAAAATAGGGTTTGTCATTTGGAGGCGCTTCCAAGCGTCTTCTATTCATAAAACGGGGCCGTTTGGATTAACAATAAAAGCGACATTCAAAAAACGCCGTTAATTATTCAAAAAAGTGACATTTCATAAAACGTCGTTAATTAAACGTCGTAAGATCTCGAATTTCCTGTAGTGAGTCTTCTCTGGGCACGTTGGGTGTTTGATTTGTCTGGGTAATTTGGCACATAATTTGTGTAGAAAGAATGAACAATTTGTGCATCTATAAGCTGAAGAACCAGTTGTGATGTTTTGTAAACACTCGTCGCAAACAATTTCCACACCATCATGATTCTTCACTTCATTGAGTGTCAATGGATGCTTATGGCTCCAGTGTTGAAGTTCCATCCTCCTCTTTCTCTCTCTGTGTCGGTGGGTTTGTGCGTGTTAAACTACAAAAAGAATTTTTTTTTTTTAATCAACAAAACGAATCTTTATTAATATAAAATCACCAAACAAAATGAGGTGGTATGTCCAAAATGGCAGCAACAAAAAGCTATAAATAAATGAGACATATGTATCATTTTTTTGTTTTTTTGTTTTTTTATCTGCGCGTGTCCTATTGTAATAATGAAAAAAAAAACTACCAATAATGCAAATATATGATGTAAGCACCCATTAGTGTCAGTGGCCTAGTCACAAATTACAGAACAATAATCTATAGGGAAGGGGGTTTTCAAAATTGATGGGGCTTTTGTTTAGATGAATGGCTAAGATTGTTTGTTTTTAAGAATGGATGACTGAGATTATTTGGTTTTGAAGGGTTGGGTTGAGATATATATCTATTAGTGTATGTCTGTGTTTAAAGACACGGTAAAAATAATATTGGGATTAATGTTCTCCTGTTCAATTTTTTATGTAGTATATGAAAAATTTATTCACAAAATAATTTAAGAGAAAAATTGTTCATTTCTTATAGCATCATTGTTATACTTACCCAAGCTATCAATCTTTCTTGTTCTAATTGAGAATGTTGGTCTCATTTGAACTTTGACTGAAATTCAAAAAGAATATAATCTCAGTCATTGCAATATTAACAAACCATCTCTCATGTCAACTAGTAATAGGTAATGTTTAAAAAGAAAAGGCATGGAAAGAAAAATCGTGCACTGCCACTCAACCCCATTGTGCAAAATTAAAGTGTATGAAAGCCCAAAATGTAGCAAGAAAAATGTATCAATTAGCTAAATAAAATGCATGATTAGCAAACTCATGAACATGTTACACTGAAGTCTCAGTGATATTACAGTATTAGTTAGTTGCAACACTCATTTCACTTTCCTAAGCTTAAGTCTCAGACTCTTCATATTACACTTCTCTCTTGCTAAAGCTTAGTCAATAAACCAATTACAGAGAAAGAGAAAAATAGAAGAAACTAAATCTTAATCAACAACGCCACCTCTCTTTGGGCAATCAACTAACCCTCCAATCAAGCATATATGTCTATGGACTATGGATTACACCAATCTCAAAACATCAAGCACTATATAATAGTTGCAAAAGCAAAAATCATCAAGCACTAATTGAAAGTTCTAAACACATTATTAGATTTTAGCTCTTAAACACATTATTAAGCACTAATGTTTATAAATGCCTCCCTCCATCATCAAGCACTAATGATTCAGCAAATATATTTAATTTCTAAAATTGAGAATGTCAATCTTTTAGAGACATGGAATTCAACACTTAGGTAGATAACTTTTCAAGAAGCAATTTGTCTCACACCATTTTATTAATTTATCTGCACCTTTTGCCGCCCCCTCTATCTCCACTCTCCCTCATCCCACACCCACACACCCTCTTTCTTTTTTAATATATGTAGCAAATATTTTATACACCCAAACACATGTGGGGTTCACACGAGAAACTACTATATATCAAAAAAATGTTTCAGAGACACATTCATATAGAGGGAAAAAGAGAGAGATTTACTGACCAAGAAAAATGCTTTTTCTTTGATAACCTTCATGGATATCTTTGGCACCACAATGCAAAGGGCATCCGTTTCAAAAATCTTCAAACCACAATCTCAAAAGAAAGATTTCATAAACTCACCACTGAGATCCAATTGAGAGCATTCAAACTATTTAGAAGTAATGCAAACAAAAGACAAAAAAATGCTAATTCTTTCCCAAAAACAATAAATAATAATAAAAATAATTAGCAAAGAGAACATTATCCAAAAAATAGATAAATTCATAAATTCAACCCAGTCAAGTAAAGGGGAACTTTTTCCTCACCCCGGTCAAAAGTTTAGCAAATGGGAACTTTTTCATCAGCCAAAAGTTTGATCGTTCGATTAATCTCCCCTCACCTTCCATTCCCTGTGCATTAATAAACACATCAAATAGAAAAACAATTTATCAAGCATTTGGTGAGCATTGTAGTAGCAAAAATTATATAGTGGTAAAACCAATTATTTTGAACTTCAATTATTGCAAAACTATACCCAAATCCTTATAATGGAATGAATAACAATAAATTTAATTAAAATAACAGGAAATAGGTTATAATTTATTCCGAGGGACATGAGGAAGTTGGTCTTTGAGCTATGGAAATCGAGTAAAAGATCAAATCATCAACTTACAACATGAATGCACAAAAAATGAAAAATAGAAGCAAAAAAAAAGGGATGGAATCTTGATTACCTCTATTGATTCGAATGCCTCCTTCACATGTACAAAGCATTAAGAATAAAAACACCAGCATTACATGAATTGAGAATTTCTCTACAACTCTCCAACTCAACAAAAAATTGTGCATTGATTTTAGGAGAAAAGATCTTTCATACTTAAAACTAATTCCCTGGACAATAACAACAACAACAACAACAAAACATAAAACTACAACAATAAAAGGCGGGTGTGTCCAACACAGATGAAGGAGCTGAAGGGTTTGAAGAATTCGAAAGGAAGATTCATCTTAATCTTATATATATTTCAACAACAACAACAGCAAAAATAAATAAATCTATAAATAAAACTAACAAAACTCCACTAACTTATGGATATAATGTTAAAGAGGAATAAAAAGATATGAACAACTAACAAAAGAGGGAGGGAGAAAGTCAAAAGATGGCATACACTAATCCTAAAAACCTTAAAAATGTTGTGTGAACCTGTGGGGATATATTTTTTGAGTACCAACACGTGGCTAAGGTGACGCCGACGTGTCAGCCGAGGTGCCACGTGTCCTGGTCATGATGCCGAGGTTATCTCGGCGAGGCCGAGGTTACCTCCGAAGATATCAGAATCCAAGATAAGTGGATAAGGCACAAGAGTCCTAGAAAATGGGAAGACTACAATTGGGAAAGGATAAGACTCTTAGGGAGTTTATCCCAATCCTACTGGGAGTCCAAGATTGATAGTAATTCTAAGTCTGTTAGAGCTAGACTCCTGTTGGGACAAGGATTGAGTTAGCTATAAAAGAGAGGCATCCCCGTGGGTCTAAGGTACGGAATTTATATTCTGAACAGTGAGATTTGCACTATTAATTATCTTTGAGAGATATACTGACTTGATCGTTGGAGTGCCCCCGGGTGGACGAACCACCGCTAGAATCTTTTCTTTCTGTTGCAGGTCAGCCAGGTGTCATCTATTCTGCCTGTGTTCTCCATCTAAATACTAAGTTGGGCAGTATAATCGGAAAATCACTCACACAATTTGGCGCCGTCTGTGGGAAAGAAAGGAGAATAGATGACTAGTAACGGACAGAAGGAAAAGATCGGGGACGACACTCCTGCCGGGAGTGGGAGACCTATTGACCTTGATATCACAGGAGACGAATGCAATGCAGAAACTCGTGACCAGAATCACGGAGTGAAAGACGTTGGAAAGACTGGCGATGCACCAAAGATACCAGATCGAAGTGGATACTACAACGAGGACGACCTCTAGGTATGGAAGGATAGGTGCCTGCGGAGGGACGAAGAGGTAAAAGAGATGGCAAACAAATTGACAGACCTGCAGTCAGTCGTCAATTTCATGATGCAAAATAACGTCATGTAGCCATCATTCCCGCTGCAAGACACGCCGATTCCAACGGCTAATGCCCAGAAGGGAGGACAGAAAACAATCCCCGTAGCCCCTCAGCACAATGGGAGCGAAAGACACTCCCATCGACCCTCTAAGGAAGTCGGACGAAGAGAGTTAAGAAGAAAAGAATCACGGAGGACGCATCACACAAAGGAGGCAGACCCCAAAGGACATCGGCATGTTCAGGGGTAGGCACTGTGCTTCGACACAACTCATGGAGAAGGGTCGAAAAGGACTCACTACGATGCTGAAAGTAGTGCACCAAAAAGACTGAAAGCAGGAGATAGCCAAGCTCCAGGGCGGACGAATGAGGACTTAAGAGATTACCTCAAGAGGAAGCAACAGAATGCCGACGCCGAGGTAACCTCCCCAGATGAGTCGAGTACACCATTCTCAGTGGAATTGGACAAGTTTGAGGCGCCGAAGAGATTCAGTATGCCGAGGTTTCAAATATACGATGGTAAGTCAGACCCCAACTTCCACGTTGGGCTATATTTGAACTCAATGGCATTGTATAGTGGGAACAAGCCGTTGCTCTGCAAAGTGTTCCACTCATCTTTCGGGGATATTGCATCAGATTGGTTCCACAAATTACCAAAGGAAAGCGTGAAGACTTGGGAAGGCCTGTTCGAGATGTTCGTGGCCAGGTTCGTGACGAACAAGCTGCAGCCATTAAGGGTGGACGCATTGATGGCCTTGAAGATCAGCAAGGATGAAGGCCTTAGGGCCTATGCAAAAAGATACTATGAGGTGTTCAATCGAATACCCGAATGTAATCAAGAGGTGGCGGTCGTATCTTTCAAGAACGGCCTGAAAGACAACTGTCCACTATGATAGTCTTTGGCAAAGACATTGTCAAAAAGTATGGAAGAGCTCATGGCGAGAATCGAGAAGTATGCCAGAGTCGAAGAAGATACGTCGGGGACTAAGGAGATAAAGCAAGAGAAAGAAAACGGCTCACCGAAATGAGGTCGAGGAAATAATGGATCGAGCAAACAAGAGGCAGAACTGAGGGCCACACAAGCAGTAACAACTGTGTTTCGAATCTTGATTCCCAAAGTCCTGGACCAGATTCGGAACCAACCCTATTTTAGCACACCAGCGAAGTCACCAGGAGAGTTTATGGGAAGGAACATTGGCAGACATTGTGCTTATCACAATGAAGATGGGCACATGACTTAGGGTTGTAGAGCCCTGAAAACACACTTGAAAGAACTGGTGAGGCAAGGCCATTTGAGAGACCTCGTTGATGAGGCTAGGACAAGAGAAGAACAGGCAAGATTGCCTCAGGCGGTAGCAGCTCCGCCTCCTCCAGCACCACAACCTCAGGCAGGAGGACCTCGGGTAGTCAATGTGATTCACTCGGAGGTCAACAAGAATGAAATTAGGGGGGAGATCCAGAAGGTGAAGCACCTGCAACATGTCTACCAAGTCGGGTAGAAGAGACATTGGGCAGAGGAGTGCCAAGGACTAGTAGTGTCCTTTTCAGAAGCCGACCTTGAGATGGTACAGCATCCGCATAATGATGCCTTGGTAGTATCCCTCTAGGTTGGGGAGTGCCAAGTAAAACGCATCCTGATTGACCAAGGCAGCTCTTGCGACATCATGTACGTTCAATGTTACAAGGAGCTCGGCCTTCACCCAGACGATATGGAGCAATCCAATAGCCCAATGGTCGGGTTCAATGGAACACCAACATGGCCACTGGGAACAACCAGCTTGGAGGTGCAGGCGGGCACCAGGAAGGTAACAACAGAGCTCACCGTAATCGACACACCCTCCCCTTACAACATCATCTTGGGAAGGCCATGGTTGCATGCAATGGGGGCAGTTCCCTCAACATTGTATCAACTATTACGATTCCCAACAGAGCATGGGATAGAGAAAGTTAGAGGCGATCAGCTGCAGGCAAAGAATTGCTCCATGGCAGCAATGAAATCTACCTGCAGCATGCGAGAGCCAGAAAAGGCAGAAATTGAAAATGAGGACGTGGAAGTCCCAGAAGACGTCGGCAAGGAGTAGTTGAGAAGAGCGAAAAAGCACTGAAGAAAATCCTCGTCCAGGATGGAGATGAAGAACGTTTCTTTCTTCTCAGCTCGGGCTTAGCCAAAGAAGAGGGAAAAGAGTTGGAAGCTTTTTTGAGAGCAAATATTGAGGTGTTTTCTTGGACACCTTACGAAATGCCTAGCATTGACCCCGATATCACTTACCACAAAAGAAGAGAAAAAAGAGTTGGAAGCTTTTTTGAGAGCAAATATTGAGGTGTTTGCTTGGACACCTTACGAAATGCCTAGCATTGACCCCGAGGTTACTTGTCACAAACTGAATGTTGACAGGTCGGCCAAACCTGTAATTCAATGAACCAGAAGACCGGCGTTGATGCACGTCGAAGCAGTAGAGGAAGAAGTAGACAGACTTCTGGAGGCTAGGGCCATTAGAGAAGTTCACTACCCGACATGGTTATCTAATACAGTGGTAGTAAAGAAGAAGAACGGTAAATGGAGGGTCTGCGTAGACTTTACCAGCCTCAATAAAGCCTATCCCAAAGACAGCTTTCCTCTATCCAAGATTGACCAGCTAGTAGATGCCACTTCAGAACATGGAAGAATGAGCTTCCTAGATGCCTACAGGGGGTACCACCAGATAGCCATGTACCCCCTAGACGAAGAGAAGACCGCGTTCATCACCCCAAAAGGCCTGTATTGTTACAGAGTAATGTCTTTCGGGTTAAAAAACGCAGGAGCAACTTACCAAAGGTTGGTAACCAAAATGTTCAAACACCTAATTGGCCGAACAATAGAAGTCTACATCGATAACATGGTTGTTAAGACCAAGGAGCCTGAGGGTCATCTCGCCGATCTAAAAGTAGTCTTTGAAATCCTTAAAACATATCGGCTCCGACTCAATGCATCGAAGTGTGCATTTGGAGTTGGATCTGGTAAGTTTCTAGGATACCTGGTGACCAGAAGGGGCATCGAGGCCAGTCCAGATCAGATCAAGGCCATCCTAGAGTTGAAGAGCCCGACGTCGGCAAAACAGGTGCAGATGCTAACTGGAAGGGTCGCAGCCCTGAATAGATTCATCAGTAGGAGTTCAGACAAGTGCAGACCTTTCTTCAACTTAGTGAAGAAAGCCACAGACTTCTTGTGGACCGAAGAATGCGAGGCCGCCTTGGTCGACCTAAAAAAGTATCTGACCGTAGCTCCAGTCCTTTCAAATCCAGAACCTGGATAGGAGCTGTTTTTATACTTAGCCGTTTCAGAGCATACGATAAAGCGCAGTAGTAGTCC